AATATGGAAAATAAGGTTTCAACCCAATATTACTTTTGCAGAATTATAGGTTTATTAATATAATACCATTGTAAAAATATGTTTTTATATTATACAAATAATTAATCTACTTATTTACTATCTATTTATCTCTATGATATTTAATAGATGAATTAGGAGCTATAATTTAAAATAATAAAAATACAGAAGAACGTTATAATCAATGTGTGTACATTCAAGGCATACTGTACACAATGTGTATAACATTGTGTACAGTATGCCTCGGTTGATTATAATTGGTTCTACAAAGAGTTTACACTCTTTAATTATAAACAAAACGTGATAAATATACAATATAAACTGAATACAGTATTATAAAGTATAAATACAAAGCTACAATAATGTAAACTGTTAAGTATAAATACAAAGTTACAAATAATATTGATTACTAAAATTAATAATCATCTCTTAGTAGAAAGCAATTAGTTACAAAATTACATCGACTATAGATGTTCTCTATTTTACTTTACTAACAATGACAAACTGAACAAATTAAACAATAAACTGATGCAATCTAGTTCAGTAACTTCTAGTTCCGTAAAGTGTAAGTATATTGCGTATAATATATTATTTTATCCTTATTTAACATTCGATAAACAATAAGGAGAAGGTAATACATCATGTGGTTTTCAGGAAGCAGCTCTAGTTAGATGATCTGCACGACTTACTAGTGCTTTCTGTTAAATTTATCATGTAATTACATTACCCATGAAGAGCGAATAAGACATATTAGGCTTGTTAAGCCATATTTAATACATTACATAAGCAAAGGTAAAAAAATCTAACTCCAATTAATTAAGGAAATTGTTATAGCAATTTAGATAAATGACTTAAACAAGCAAAATTATTGTTGCAGTCTGTATACATATATGATAAATATATGACAAAAGAAATTGCGGCTTTTCTCGCCTGATTTCGATACCACGAAAACGTTGTAACCTCTTTTTACAATTTTTCTTTCTGGTCCGTACAATACCTAGCTTTACGGATACGTGACTAGAATGTTTCTCGCTTGTACCCTCGTACGACTAGGAGATAACTCGCAATGTTCTTCAAGCAACCCTTTCCATCCTGGCGAAACTCGGCGTTACTCGACTGAAAGTGGGAACTTAGTACGTTCGTAATGTACATTTATTAACTCGGCGCAGTGTTGCGTATATTTTGTTAACAAGGAGAAATCGCTTCCTGCAATCGAATGTTCTTACACCAATAAACACATTTATGTATTGCACCTCGTTCTTACGCCGCAGGTGGTAATTTAGGTTAATTACTCTCTGCACAGAGTTAATGATGTCTTTATAACTTGTTTAAGGTCTACAGTAACGGGATTGTGCTGTATGTTAATTAACGTGGATAAACGATAAGATTTATGAATCGCGAAATAATTGGCTTTCTTAATAATATTACTTTCTCAGATAATATTCTAAGCTACTTTTCTTATAAAGGGCCCAAATGAATATAACCGGTGCAATCACTTATCACACATGAATAAAGATAACGCAACAAATTAAATTACTTATTATATTGTATAAAAATTGCTTATTGTTACAAACATGAGATAAAGCTACGTTTTAATCTCAGAAAATTTATGCTACCAATTAATGTATGTGTACGTGAAAGATGGCGTTTAATCTGTTTTCATTTTCACGTTACTTCATAAACGTAGGTCGGTTCAGACTTCAGTTCGGATCAACGAGAAAGTATTTCGAAGCAACGACTCGAATATAAAATCAGAAATATTCTCATTCCACGTCTGCAGTGAAAAGTTCGTTGTTGTTCACACAAACATAAAGGAATGTCCGCATTGTCAGAAATAATTTTCCCACTCCACGCCGTTGCATACACGCACCGTGTATAAACGCAACTTGGGTTAATTACAACAAGCATATACGTGATGCTGGATTTTGTAAAGGGACGGCTTGGTTGGTTGGCTGGTGGTTGGTTGGTTGGTTGACTGCTTTTGTACGAAGTGCCACAGAGGTGAAAGGGGGATGTACAAGGCAAGGGCATTCCATCGTGCACGTGGGGATTTAGGCAAAAACCCCTGGTAGATTAAACGACTACGACGTCGCTGATGGCCTTGCCGGAGTATTCAGTAAATTCCGGCAACCATGGAAACGTCCGCTGTGTTCTGGCGAGCGTTTTATTGTATGCGCGTGGTAAGGGTTAGTTTTCTTAGGAAGAAGAGTCGATCGAGGGTTTATCCGGGACCCTTCTCAAATGCCGTATGCATCTATTTAAATTGTAATTGACAGTCGGACGAATTCTACAGTTCTAGACAAACTGTACAATAATAGTGAGGTGATAATTTGATTACACATCACTTCCAAAAAGAAAATTGTGTCTGAGAAATGATTAACTTTAGATTAAATACTTTAAATACTTTAGGTGTAAAAGCATTAATAAATGCTCTTATGCGTTTATTAGTTACGTTAATCTATTCACAAAGCTCCAACAACTATAAATAGAACATATATCCTTTTACAAATCTCATTAATATAATATTTAAGAATACTTTTAATTTTTTTAGTAAAAAACTAAAATTAGAGACTGAGTTCATTAAAAACTTGCAATTAGTCTCTAATTTTTAATTAGAGACTTAGTTTATTCAAAACATAGATAATTTATAAAAATTATAAATAATTAATGTGTGAGCACCTAAATTTTGATAGGCAAACGCGGCAGTTGGCCGTAGCAGTTGGCCTTTAATAGATATGCTGAGAAAGAAAAATAAATCATGCGAAATTAGACGATGTCGAGAAAAGGTAGACACGTATATACGCACGACTAAGGCACGAGTCCGTTTTTGTCACCAAATTGCTCGTTCAAACTGCTCTATTTTATCACGATCTGTCGATAACAGGCAGGTCTAGCTAAGAGGAACGTCTCCCATCTCTTACGTATAGAATCATCACTTTGCGTATTTGATTTTTATATTATATGATGATAAACCGTTATGTTAAACAACCTTATTTTGATAAATTTGATATTACTGATTTTCACCGCGCAATAATAGATGCAATTTACAACCGTTTATATTAACAAGATGAAATTTATTTATCTAACGCATGCGAAATTATTGCTAAGTATCTCTAGATAAATATCGGAAAATTATTTACGTCAACTGTCGAAAGTGATGTTACAGCTTTCTGTTACAGCCAATTCATATCAACGTGAAGAATGTTGTGTTAAAGTGACAGTTGAACATTTCAGTCTGTCCCAATATATTTTTATTGACAATACGCATACTTTTTGATCTTTTTTTTCGCTCGCTTGTAAAATGACAAAAATTATTGAGCAAAATGTTTATCAAAATTATTGGTCTTACCACATTGACGATTTCCATCACGTCGACGAGAAAGGAATTATATTTGTACAAACATCTTTCTTTGTCATTATTAGTTTTAATAAACATAATGTATTTTCTATTATTTTATAAAATACAGTTTGTTTGTTTAAGACTCTATTGCAATACAAAATATAGCAATACTTGAAAAAATAAAAATTTATTTTTCATGATTATTAGTAGTCTATGAATTTTTATTTTCACAGATTATTTATAAAGAAAGCGTTTGCAACGAGAGATATTAAATGATTGCCACAAATATTATGCATACAAATATTATGGGACCATGAATAGATTACTTTGCAAATAAATATTTACGACTTTTATTTTTTTTACATAAAAGCTTTTATTTTTTACGTCAAAGCTTAGAGCCATCACGTACAAAATGACATAAGCTGCATAACTATAGCATAAAGCTGTTGGCCTTTACTCTTAAATCTTTATTCGGCCAATTTTGTTACTATAAATGCAACTTTTCACATCTAATCTATTCTGTACACTGCAACTCTTCTAGTTGTATTATAATTTTAATTAAACTTTAATTAAATTTATAATATTTAATCGTATTATATCTAGCCTTAAAAATTTTAGTTTAACATTCGCGAAATTTATATGACGTTGCATGAAATATCGTGTTCCTGTCACCATCTCTCTTTGAACGTTGCGTTGTAATATCACTCTTGCAACATCGTTGGAATTTCATTCTGTCTTTACACGTTACGAAGCTGTACCGAGGCATCGACTGGTTTGTGCGGGGAAGAAAGCGGAGAGGTCGGCATTTCTAACGAAGTAGAAATTCCTGCGCACGCCTGGCTTTGCCGGCAATCGCAACAAGGCACGTTTTGAAGCGGGTATCGAAGCGGATATCGAAGCTACCTGCCAGAGAACAATGAAGGGATCAATTACCGTCCTAGAACACCCCGGCAATAGAAATTGAGACCAAAATACTGGCAGTTGTGAGCTGGACATTTGATTCGTGATTCGACCACTTGCTTTCGCACAAACTGGATTAGTTCATGACAAAAAAACATTTAATTAAAGTATACAGAAGAATAATACAAAAGAATAAATTGTTTCTTACTGCAAATAAAATTTTAATTATAAACCATTATGTAGTATGAGTTGTAGTTTTCGCGAAAATACATAAAATTCTTAATACTGGATGGCCCTCATAGAAATAATATTGAACGGTAGTGATTAATTATTTTGGATATTAAAAGTACTACTGTTTAGTGCTTTAACACTCAAATAAATAATTTTCGGTATCGGCTAGCATTAAACTTAATTTCTGCAAGGAAAAGTGACGAACTATTCTAAATTTGAACTTATTTAACTGAATTAAAAAGCTTATTGAACTTTCTGTTCGTCTCTAAAATTTTCTCTCTACTAGATTCATTCTTGACGTTCGATACGACGGATAGTAAACATTTGGAAATGAGATTCCTTCAGTCCCGGATTCCATTCCAACTAATTTCAACGATCTCAGATTCATTCGCCGCGCCATCGCGGTTTCTGCGTTAGTTCGCCGAGTGGATATGCATTTGTCGGCGCGTTAAAAGCGTTCTTCAAGCTTTCTACATGCGACAAAACCGAAGGGGGCAAAAGTTTAACTCACGCGAGCATGGACGCGTCTCGTCGCTCCCATCACCACAGTCGTCCACAACGTTACAAACTTTGTTGAGGGCGACGCAGTGCCCGTTGGCGCACTGAAATTCGCTCTGCCGGCAAGAAAGCACCGTCGTCGCCGTGAGGATGCAGGTGCAAACGAGCCAATGCATGTCTGAAACAATATAAAAAGTAGCGTGGTTTTAGTATTATGAAAAAAAAAACTCTTCGCGCGCTCGTGATCTGAATTTTTCATGTGACTTGAAAATTTCAAGCGAGTTACGGTCGTCGTTATTGTAACCAAAGCGTATCCGTATTTATATAGAAATTCACATCCTTTGTACAATATATATATATATATATATATATATATTTTTACTTATGTGTACACGATGAGAATTTTTTTCTTAGAGTTTATCCTAAAAATGTGATAGTCGTGGGTTAACATCGTATTTCGAAGAATTTTAATGTAAATCTTTCTCATTCATTAATAAAACCACAACAAAGTATAAAATAAGTTTGATTAATTTTACTGAAGTGCAAAAAATCTTTAAATGGTAAAAATCTTTAAAATATTATATTGTACCAGACTATTATATTTTCAGGATAAATTTTAAAAGAAAATTCTCTCCAATATTGTAATATTTATAAAATTATATAATTAAAATGTAACACAAATTCTTTAAACACGATAAACAAAGAAATTTAATGATAATGAAAGTACATCGCTGTTAAGTGATGCAAGTTATGTCAAAATTTTTATTACTTTACAAGAAGGATGATGTCACCATTATTCGCAAATCAATTTGGAATAATGATGACATCATCCATCTCGCAAAATAATAAAAATTTTGACATCATAATTTGCACCTGTCTAATCGCGCTCTCATTAACTTTAAATTGCTTTATTTATTGTGTTTTAATATACAATTAACTACTTTAATTAATATAATAATAAATAACATAACATAAATTATATGTAAATTATACATATAAATAGCTCGTAAATAATATTTGCAGAAGCATTTTTTAAATCTAAAATACCTGTTCTTAGAACGTGATTCATCACACATTTTTCATATATAAACAACTTTTTTGTGAAAAAATATTTCTCCGCCATAAGTATATAATGGTATTTGAATTTCGTGAATCGATAAAAAAGCGAATTGAAAGTCAGCAAAATGAAAGTATATTTACACAGAGAATCAGTGGAACTGAGTTTTGACGTGCAGATTACGTCAATATGCGACTTTATGCTGTGATTCAAAATACGTTATTTAAAATGATTGATTTTAGAAGCAAATTTCATTTACTTATTCCAATCGTTTTATTAGATAATCATAAAAGTTCTCTAGCTTTATTATCAAAAAATTATATTTAGTTTACGTTAAAATTGCAACAAAATGAAAGAATGAATAAAAAAAGTGAAATGAATACATTTCGCTTATTAAACTTAATTAATTCAACTAGTATCACTCGAGAGAACTCGAACGTCGCGCCTGGCTCCGTCTGGGATTAACAGAGTTCCTACCACTAACATAAAAATATTATTGTTGTGGTGATGATAAAGTTTCGTAACAAAACGTAAACGTGCGCAACTTCGTCCTCCTCCAACTTAAATCGAACAGGAACATGAAGGATATCGGACCACGTTCTCTCGATTTCCGGCGTCGCCTGAAAGCGTCGACGTCGTTCACCCAATTGAAGTGAAACTTTCGCTATTCTCGACTCCCTGACGTAATCCCTGCTGTCTTTGCTTTTTTCCCCTTAAAACTGGTAAAACTGAGGTCAGACCGAGTAACTAGTTCGTTAATTACGATATAGGAACGAATTCCGCAATTCCCTTGAACTGCAATTGGTTTTTATAAATAACATAATAAAGAAAATATAAAAACCAGTAAAGAAAATTAACCATTGAAGCAATAAAAAAAAAGAAACGTTTATTTTAAATTATATTTAATATTGATTAAATTATATTTGATATATTTATTATTTTTTAAATTATATTTAAAAAAGATATTAATAACAATATTTAAATTTCCAAAATTGTCATGTTTAAGAATACAATTTTTATTAATTTCTCATTTTGTTAAAATAATTTTTAAATAAATTTAAAATAATTTTAATATATCATATATCCGCATATTACACGATAAATCATCATCATGAGAACTGAATAGTCTGATATATTCTATCATCAGCCTCTTATTCTTCAAGTCTACACGATAATGTTATAATTTTTCCTCAAGCAGATAAAATGAAGAGACATGCATTTTTCTTTTCGCTCAATCGGCTCGATGCGTAGCTAATTTCCATCTCCACAAAGAGAAAATTCAAGTGCAAGATAAGAAAGGAACAATTCGGTATTCATGGAATTACAAAGACTAAAGCGAAGGGAAATCAGACTGACAAGCAGGGAAAAAGTAAGTTATCGTTGCGGCGCGCTGGTATACATTCTCGCCTCCTTCTTGTCTCGTCGCTTGAAAGTTACGCTGAATAAGTTTAAATGTCAGGAAATATGCAGAGCCGTCCCTGGAAGAAAGCGGGAAAGTTTCTCGAATATCGCGCGGTAAGAAGACGACCCATCGCCCACTTAGACCTCGATGTCTCTGAGAGCTTTAAGTTGCACCTTACCTTTCCAATGCTTAAAAATTTTCAAACATATGTATTAAACCTTAAGTTTTTATTTTTTTTAAAGATTAAAAAAGATATGAAATTAGCAATAATCTTACAAACAATAAAATATTTATTATTATTATTAATTTTTATTACTTTTTTATTGTATTTTTTTATTATTAATAATATGTATAGCTATTGCTCTTTTTGAAAGTTTAAATTTTTTTTTTCATGGCTAGAGATACAATAAACATTTTTCATAAAGTTTAAAACTGTCTACTATTGAAACTGTCGTTTCAAAATGCTAAGTCGAGATTATTACTTTCGCATTTCGCGAGTTTATATCACACGTGTCACCGACTTTACGTCAGATGCTGTATAAAGGGAAAGGAACGGGAAATTGTCAAGATATCTCCGAGACGTTGCATCGAATATTCAAACGTAATGCGGGATTCGAGCTTCCGTGTCAGTCTATCTTGCGGTTTTTTAATATTTTTAACTTCCAATTTCGTGGATGAATTTCATGAGACACCAAGCATCATTCTCGCCATGAACGCATTCTGCGTGCCATCCTTCTCGTCTCGAATTTCCATAATTTCCAGAAAATTCCTATAAATACCTCTCGCGTTGGAACTTTAAACAAAATTAATTTCTTAATGGTGGCACGCAAATAATATAAATCTATTTAACAGCGGAACTTTCAACTTTCGAATTGCTGAGAGTAATCTATTAGATTAAATTTCAAATTACAGTTATTATTGTGAATTCTACTAAATTTGTGTATTATGCATTTGCAATGTGTAATGCAATTTATCTGTATAATGAGGAAACCAATGTTCTTCTAAGTGTAATCAAACAATATTTTAAAAATGTAAAATTAACTTATAAAGAATTAGTAGAAAATTTATTTAATTCAATAATTGCTATAATTATTTTAGAGTATATTAAAACACTTTTATACTATTTTCTATAAAGGAACGATCAGGTCACCGTCTTGCAAGACATTTATCTCATGTCTATTTGGTTTCATTATCGATCTGTTTGACCGATGTAATGTAGGTGTGTTCAATGATGTTTATTGACTTGGTTAAATTAACTACACGGACGAGAGTAGTCCGTAGTTAACTATTTGTGGCCTAAAGGCTAAGTTAGTATTAATTAATGATTAACACGCTACGTACAACATCTTACAAAAGTATTATATATACAATTTTTTTAAATTAATACTATTTCATTAATAAAAAGGAGATAAGATTATTAATTAATGTATCTATTGGTTAATTTATGTGGATTATTTTTATTTACTTAAAACGTTTTTTTCTTATTGATACTGAAATAAAAATGAAAACAAAAATATAATTTACAATCAAATTTATTGCGATACGCAAGTGTACCGTTGTGCGTTCACTTCCGATGTTTTCGCTTTTCGCGGGAAAATCTATGGCTGTATAATTTACATAAACAGCGGGTTACTATCGAGACTGTTTTAGTAATGCAAACGATGAAGATCCGACGAGGGATGGGAAATGAAAATTGTGAACTTCCAAATTAGTCAGTTATCCTTTTTGTACGATATTCGGCAATGATATCTAAAATTAAATTTGTATATTAAATGTTATGAGTTTTCGAATTAAATATAGTTTTCTCTTTATTTATTATACAAACATATATTAATACAATATAATTATCAACATGCAATTTTACGTATACATTTCAAATCAAATATTTATGTATTTAAAATAAATAGTATCTTTGTGTAAAACCTCAAGAATTTGTTTCAAGTTTACTTTGCGTATTCTGAGAAATATTCATTTTACTTAAGATATAATAGTATCAAATAGTCGATTATATTTATCTCACGTCTTATGCCTTATTCATAACAGAGGGAAAGAAAAAAAGCTCTGAAAATATATCTTAATGTCGCAATCCGGAGAAAGTGAATAAAATTGAATAAAATATTGAAATAAACAGATCATTTAAATAAAAGGAAAATTTTTTGTCTGTCTTTCTGGAAGCTTACGTAGCTAATGGGTGCATTCAGTACTACAACCGCTCACTGAGCGCTCAGTCAGAGCTCTTGCATCGAATTGGTATAATCCGTTAAACCTAAAAATATAGACAAAAAATATAGATACAAGAGCTCACTGAGCGGTCATAATACTGAATGCATCCATTATAAGTTCTAACAGTTGACTGCTGACTATCTTGTTCCTTTGTAGCGTTTCTTGTTTATTTATATTATTCATTATATTATTCATTTTACAATTGCAGATATCCTTGGATTAAAGTCAAATATAAAATTTTTTTCAGAAAATATTTTTACGACTTTGACGTTGTACTGACAGAATTTCCTGGATATTATTTGACCTAAAACTTATCATGACAAGCACGAAGACGACTGAAAAGCCCCTGTCATCTACAAGACAGCATTAAGCTTAGTCACTCTCGTAGAAAGTGAATGCTTAAATGTTAAGCTCTAACTATTGCTGCGATTTAACTATCATTTTGCATATATCTTTAGAGCTTTAAACATTTAGTTGCGTCGATCTATCATTTCTT